AACACCCCGGAAACCCATACCACGAACAGAACACGTTACTTGAAAACACTGATTTTTAAAAAAATGTTGTAAACAAAATTTAAAATGTCGTAAAACAAGAATGAGTGCGTTGAATTATGAATTTCTGGTCCAACCAACAAGAATGGAAGGAAAAAACTCTTATTGCGTTGTAAAATGTGTCATAAAATGTGTCATAAACGAACAATGCAATCGTTGGAGTCTATCTTTTTGCAGAGCTATTAAAATGCGCGAACTCGCATGGAAATCGCCACCCACTAACGCAGAGGTTTAAAATAGAATAATGCCTGGTAGCGACTTTCGGTGAGGTGAACATCGGCATTTGCGACGCTTTCCCATTAAAATACAATATATCTTTCTAGGCCACAATCCGTCATATTTATTTGTGACCGTGGACGTGGTGGAAGTGAATAGGAAAAAAAACAGACGTACTGTCCATGTCTCCCATTGATCCAATTAATTGTTTTACATTGGACACATTTCTACTAAAGATATGTTGTTTTGCCAAGTTGGACATGAATAGGAAAAACCGGAGTACTGCGATAATGCCGTTTATCTTGAACCATGAATACAAGTTTTTTATTGCCGAAAAAAAATCGACTGTGCTGCAAATTCTGTTTAACTGTTTGAAATGTTACAATGACACACAAGGCCATTCCTGGACAACTTTTCGGTCGGTCGGGCAAGAAAAAATGGCATTGGGTTTGTGGTTCTGTTTTGAGGATATTTTCCCTGGTATTTCAATTCAAGCTTTCTCTGTCATCTATTTTTCCGTGGTTTCTGATGTAAATTTACTACTTTTAACATCATGCAAGAAACTGGACAGCGTATTCCAAGTCTGTCTTTTGCGGAATTTTTTTTTCTTTAAATATTCATATAGTGTACACTCTTTCTTTTTTTTTGGATAGTTCGCATAATTGGTCTGCTTCGATCTGATCGCTGTTCGTGAATAAAAGCTCCCCTTTTCGTGCAAAATAGGAGATAATCGCTGAAGCCGTTGTGAAGAAAGTTTTTGCGCAGACACCTCTGATTTCTGTTTGAAATGCACACTAGGGATAAAGATGTGTACAAAATTAGTTTCGCCATATGACTTCCTATTGTCCCAGTGCCGCCATCAACTGCGCCGATAAGTGTTGGTTTTGCGTTCGTTTTGTGTTTCAGGGTGTTTCAAATTTCTGCAGTGATACACTTTTTAAGCTGCAGAACAAAACGTTGGTAATTAAAGGAGTTTATTATTGCGGCGCGACTCGGGCGATAGCATCAACCATCAACCATCAACCATCTACGTACCTACGACGCATACAGTGGGATAGCTTAAAAAACAAGAATCGGTGAAATATCCATATTCAAACTACCCCAATGAACAGCCAAGCAAGGCAGAGAAGAGGCTGACGTGACTGAAATATAAGCCGCGAAGCAGGGGCACCCAACCACGGTTACCTCATAAATGCATTGAAAACACTTTTTCGCTTATCCAGAGTACTTTCAAATCTCTAGAAATGCATTCTAAGCGGCGCTATAAAATTGTATCTGTTCGGTCGTCCTAGGGCAACTTGAATCTTTTCGAAATCACTTAGGGCCTCAGTATTATTTTCCCGAAAATTTTAGGTTTAAAGAAAGTGAGAATTTTTCTGATTCCTCTCTCCATCGCATTTTCTAATCCGAAAATTTTAGATTTCCTTTTCCTACGAAAAATAGGCCAAGTTGGGGACTGAAATGTGAAAAACTAAACTTTAGAAAATCGTAGGGAATTAATTAGATAAGCTACGAAAACTGTACATGAATGGAACGGCCATCTAGAGATTTCTAGCCTTCCTCAAGTAACAGAAAATTGTAGGCAATTTTTCCTTCTCCGAACAGATATTTTACAGAAAACAGTCGTTCGGTGCCCCTGCCTAAGCTCTATGACATTTTTTTTAGGCACAACCTGTCTACCTTCACAGGAAGGGAGAAGGTTCTTTACTTTTAAGCGAATTCGAATGTCCACGTACTATTTTAATTAAACAACAACAACAACAACATCACATTTTCTTTATGGATGTCCCGGAGCTTTTCTCTATTCCACCCCCCACCTTACAACTAGATGTTCCCGCGCCATTTTTTTTTTAAATTCTTCTTATTTGTTTTAATGACATTGATTGCATCGATTATTACCTTTTCCAAAAAAAAAAAATTGGAAAAAAAATGTTACCCTCGACCCTCGACATGGTACCCTCGCCCTCGACATGGAACCCTCGACCCTCGACCCTCGACAAAAAGATAGACTCATACTTTTCGATAGTCATTCCTTATATGATCTTCCGGGAATGACAGCTCCTTTCATTCTTCCATAACAACTTATCCTACAGGACTTGTGCAGAAAAGGCTTATGATTGGAGGATGAAATCCCAGATTTCCACCTGACCTGCTGGAGAGCGTGGTTCTATGATTTACTGAAGATATCCCAAGTTGCCATTGAAAGATGTGTTAAGCCTGTCGAGTCTTCAGATAACGCTTCATGTCAGATCCATCATTTCTGTGACGCTGGCGCTGTATCGGACCTTTGGTTGGTCGATAAGCTAGGTTAGGTTTGCCTGGCTCCTTTCTTTAAAGAAAACAACCATCCCTAGGCTGCTACTGTGTCAGTTTGACTAAACAAGATCTTGACGAAGAAGTTGGGGTTATCGATCGATAGATTCACATTTTGAACTGACAGTATGACAGTGATATGCTACATTGCGAATGAGTCGAAGTGTTTTCACACCTATGTTGCCAACCGTATTGCCGTAAGAGAAAAATCTAACCCATCTCATTGGAAGTACATAATGACGGCAAGTGCAATTCCGCTGATGAAGCTTCACCAGGAATTACAGAAAACACGTTCATCCGCAATGGCCTTTGGGTAGAGGGGCCGGATTTCCTATCATCACTTGAGCCTCAGTGGGAGGACGTGCCCAAGAATACGCAATTCGCAGAAATGTATCAACGCCGAGGAGTATATGGGTGATTGGGCGAATCACAGACTTTTTTTCAGATAGGAATGGTTTTGTACGCCACGTTAAGGTCAAAATAAAGACCTCTACTCTTCGGAGGGAACCTTCTTGGAATCTGACCTAAACTCTTTAGAGCAACCTATCACCAAGTTGTGGTTGTTGGAATCAGTTTGACATTGAAAGTGATTCGCTTACTTCTCAGAACTATTTAAGAGACTTCTCGCGACTTTCATTGAGCTTTTGTGATGTTCTATCGAACTGGACATTTAATAATAATAATAATAATAATAATAATAATTTATTCATTTATAGTGCGCTTTTTAACATACTAGGTGATCAAAAGCGCATTACAACAATAAATAACCTAAAAACTATACAAATATTAGAAATATACAAATAAATTTAATATCTAACAGATATTAAAAGCTAATTTAAAAAGATTTGATGCTGCGGAGGCTAACAGGAAGAGCGTTCCATAAAGTGGGCGCAGCCACACTGAAGGATCTGTCACCAAATGACTTTTTCATTTTCCATGACGGATGCTTTAATAAAACACCTTCATTGGAGAGCAGCGAATAGCGCGAATTAATCTTAGTATGAATTAAATCAATGATGTAACTAGGTGCCATGCCATAGAGGGCTTTGAAAGTAAGTAATAAAATTTTAAAATTAATTCATCTTACTGGTAACCAGTGTAAATTTATCAAAATGGGCGTAATATGCATGGTCATACTTTTTACATGACATAAGCAGCCTAGCTGCAGCGGTCTGTACTCTTTGCAACTTAGCTATTTCATAGTCCGGTAATCCATAGAGAAGTCCATTACAATAATCAATTCTACTTGTAACGAAGACATACAACACCATTTCTAATTTATCCCTAGGCAGAAATTGGCTTATTCTCTTGATATTATGTAACCAGAAAAATGCTGCACTACAAGACGTAGAAATATGGGTCGACATAGAAAAATGCGAGTCGAACCAGGCGCAGAGGTTACGCGCTACTTTAACAGGCTTAATATCATTGAATGGTGCCAACACGGACAGAAAATTGATGAATTTTCAGCAACTGTTGTCTCGATCCGATAACAAGAAATTCAGTCTTGTCTAGGAGGTAGAACCCTGAAAAAATCGAGACGTAGCACACCCTCTACATATTTGGTCTGACATCACAAAATGGTAGGGCAATACCTATAGAACATTTTTAGGTATGATGTACTGATGTACTGGTGGGACGTCGTTGTGCTGGGGGCTCATTTGTGACTGCTAGTAAGGTCCCTGTGATTTAAGCATATTTTTAGTATCATTATTTTATACATGTTCAACTCGACATTACTCCCCTAAAGTTGAGCCTAGACAATTTTAAATTGGCTCAAGCATTACTGGTGTGAATATATTTTATCTTTATGTGTGAAACAACTTAACGAGGTTTCCATGGTAACCGTTGCTATGGTCATTTTTAATTAAGGGTATTTAAGCAATAATTAGCATTAGATTCTTTAGAATAACGACCAAACTTATCACTTCTTTATCCATCATCTCAAGTTCATCAAACAAAACAATACTTTTGAATTTAAAGTTATTCAATTTTCAAAATAACTCATCTTTCCCTTAACAACTGCTGTTTACTACAGTGATTATGGTCAAAACTTGTTCCTTTATTTTCTCTTTTTGCTCACAATAATCTTTCACTATCTTGACAAAATCTGAACAATGTTTTTACGGTAACAACTGCCAATAAGACATTTTATAGGTGAAATCTGAAAACAGATTTTGACACCAAAATGGCACTAGCTTTGGTTTTGAAGATAGTTTTCAAATCGACGAGAAGAATGAACAAATTGAGGACTTGAACTTTCCATTGCATAATTTAAGTCTAAACTTTAAAACTGCAATATGGAATGCTAAAATTAGGATCAAAATTCAGAAATTGAATTTTGGGGGATAGTGAACGCCATAGTTTAAATACCGAAACTTGAATGTGTATTGCTGTTACTAGAGTACTAGAGGCTAAACTTCAGCATCTGTTAGCTCGTCTTCACTGCTTCCAGGTGTTACATCAGCTGGCTTGTGAGGATTTTGGCAACTTTCATCATTCATACAAAGGCATGCCTCTGTACAGGGCATCTCGTGGGCTTTGCAAGGACACAAGTAATCCCTTCTGCAGACAGATTTGTTACATTTGCAAGTCGTCAGTTCAAGCAGCCCTTGTGGTGCTGGATTCTTGGACATCAAAAGTGGTTCCAAAACACCATCCACTTTCTTCCATCCGTTGCTGACTGGCGACGGGAGTTGCTGTGTTGCATTCAAGGAGTGTTTCCACACATATGCCTGGTAGTTAGCACGTTCAATGTGGTGTCGCAAGCTGTTGCTTGTGGGTGGTAAACTTTCACTTCTTTGGTGCTTTTGGCAGAACATCCAATAGCGTACGTCGTCAGCTGTTACCCCTGCCTTCTTGTTGGTTGTATAAAGGGAGCAAATAAACCTCTCACAGGCTTCAACAGTAACCCCTCTAGTCTTGCTGTCGAGATTGATGGTTTGTTCCAAGGCCATGTCAGTCCAAACTTGGCTAAAGGGTTGACTTGATCTACTCACTGGGTGGTTGCCATTTAGGAATTCTTCGTAAACTTCTGGAGCGTGAGTGGGAAGCAGGTGCATATCAGCCAAGTAGATTGGGAGCCACCTGCAATTTATTGGAGGAAGAGGTCAAAATAAGAGAAACATAAGAAGGGGCCGGGTAAGTGAGAAAGTTAAAGCGAACCGCATAATAAGGTAACGTCCTGTGATAATGCGTAGATCTCTTCATGCGTTTGAACAAACGCGTTCACCACTTGGGATAAAGAATAAATCCCGTAATAAGTTCGATATATTATAATTCAGTCTTAAACAAAACGCATCATTTCGAAGCAAAGAGGAGTAAATCCTTACAAATCCTTATCATATAACACCTCTAATCCTCGTAGCGATGACTCTTTTAAAGTTCAATTAGGCTACTGTTCTTTAGTACTGATGCACAATTTGCAGTCAATCTGAAAGATATGAAAAAAGATAATCAGAATTAAATAAATCGACTGCCCACATACCTGGAATAGTTGATGAGATCCATTGAAAAGAAGTACGGTACCATTTCTGCAACAGCTTTCAAATGAAGTTTCCGTGATCCTTCTCGTTCAGCTCGAATGAAGCGCAACAGCAATAGAACAGTGTCAATATACATATTCCAGAAGTGGAATAGTTTAGACTGCTGACTCGGCTTCTGTGCAGAATCTCGCGAAAATTTGTTGAAGTTGTGGGCGTTTGTCGCAGAGAAGACCGAATGAGGTCTTCAGAGAGGCTACATCATTACTTTCTCTTTGACAACAGTTTATTAAAGATAAACACTGGCGTTGATATACTGTTGGGAGCTCGACGTCCTCAGCTTCCATCCTAGCTCCAAATGCTTGCCACTGCAGTCTTAGTAGTGCTTCGAGAACAAGCTTATGTGCACGCACGCCTCTGTTGTATGACTTTCCCTTCAATAGCATAGATGCCGTGTGGCATCCATACACACCAGATTCTATTAGCAGGTCTTCAATGCCACTGTCCTGGAAAATCTTTCCAATAACTGAGAGGAAGTTTAATGTTATATGAAAACCTCCCATTCGGATCACTGTGTTCTTAAATTCTTCAGGCCGTCGCCACTGAATCTCTTTGGCCTTCATGTAGATTGCCAGGTCAAACGTAATTACACTGTGTTTCTGGTGTAGTACATCCATCATTGCTTGGACGTTTTTCATGGCAGTGTAAACTGTACTGTATTCAGTAGGTGAACCATTGATCATTGGACAGTAACCAACGGAGGTCAAGGGTGGCGGCTCACTTGCTATCTTTGCGTTAAACCCACTCCAACTTGGCAAGGGCTGAAAAACTTCGCCGTCGCGGTTATGTACTGGTGGGTACACAGACGTGTTAAAAACCAACCAAAATCCATCTGAATTGCAGTGGTACAGAGCGAGCTTGAGGACTGAAACCACTCTTCTTCTATTTTGTCTTTGTAAAAGGTTACGGCAGGCCGCTTGCCACAAGCACCAAACTCCAACAGGGGTGGATTTGCATCTGAGATGTTAAGAGACCGTCGCTTTTCTGAATGAGCAGGACGAACTGCAGGTTTCGGTTTTGGTCCTTGTTGCTTTCTTTGGTACAGGACAAGTGTAGTGGCATGAGTAGTTTGCTTGCCGTCTAGTGTCTCCTCATTGATATCGTTATTGTCTCCCGCGACACTCCTGGTGAAATGTTAGATGGAACAACAGCACCCAGATTTTCTGAGCTGGCTATAATGTCTAATGCTAGGCTAGTGTCAACTACTTCTATGTCATCATAAGAACAGCAGTGACCGAATCTGTTTAACATCGTTACCAGGTGCTTTGAACCTGTCATATGGCGAACAGACATCGCCAAACCAATGTGCTTAGGAGTCTTCACGCGACCATGAGTTGTTGCATATATTAGATCTTGTGCAATTGCTAAAATATGTCGCTCATCTGCGGTATTGGAAGCAGTCGGAGCAGATACATCAACTTTATCTGGATTCGAGATCATCAAGCACAAAAAATTGTAAAGATCTTTAGGCATTAAACTCTTTACCTTACAGGCACTGAGGTCCTCCACATCAACAGGTTGGATCCCTATACTTTTGCTTTCACTCCGTATGCTTGACCTCAGTATTTGAGCGGCGTGGTATAGTATGGAATTGACATCATTCTGACCCTGGCTGTTTGAGGATTCATCTTCAGAAGACGCTGACATTTTAGCCAAATGGCAACTTTTCTCAGCCGCTGAATTGATGACATCCTGCAAAGATATAGAGCTAGAGTAAACCAACTCTGGCTTCGAGGGATCCGGTAGCTTCTGAAAGACAATTTCCTCTTGAAAACTTTGTTGCAGTCTGCGTTTTAACCTCTCTGACTTGTAACTTTTTGCCGTTTTGCAGCCAAGGTGTTGCAAAATTCCCTGGTAAGAGTCCAAGAGGGTTTTCATATCAAGGGCCACTCCTGATTCTAACTGAGGTTTGATGTCCTCTTTCAGGTTTTGGTACGCTTGGGTGTAAACATCTTCCTCCCCGTCAACTCGAAAGTCAACAAACATTAGGTTGGATTTACTTGCATATTGGGAGCGGCAGTGTTTATGATACTTGGCCTCCGCAGCAATCAAATCAACTCCTGAAATCTTCAACAGCATGCTCTCGTCACTCCTTCTTCTTCCAGCCTCCTCTATAGCCTTGCATGAATCAAATGTTGAAACGTTCATAAGTTTTGTTGTCCCCTTTGACTTTTTCTGCTGACAAAATAGACAAAGGGACCAATCCACTGCATTAACTTGTGATCTCGAACTTGGTCTGTCAACGTGCCTTTCTTGACTTTCAGCAAAAGGTAATGGTTTAATAAAGCTAAGATTTCTCTTGCTTGTATAACTTTGAAAACACTTGCCGTGCCAGACAACATCTAGAGCGTCTAAATTTTCAAAAGTCGACAAAATCCTGTGGTAAGTTTCATCTTTCCTAACCTCTACAGCTTCTTTAAACGATCTCAATCCAGCTTCGGTAGGACTTCTTAGTCTTTCACTGCTTTTTTCTTGACAAATAATACATTTTGTTAAGTCTGTATCTGATTTGGGCTTCTTTTTTGGAGGCAGAAGCCTCACTTCGCTTTCTTGCTCACTGCTTTCAGTACAACTAGCCATTACCAATCATCTTAAGAAAAAGTAAAAAGGATTTATAGATTCTTTCCTCTGATCAGGAAACCTGCTTTCCTAAAATTAGCAGTGATTAACTTCTGAATTCAAAAAAGAAAACATGCCCTACGTAGTTAGTTGTTTCCTGGCGATATGTTTGAATATATGCACTTTTCAAGATAAAATTGGAGATTTGCTCTATATATTTGTGTATAGTTTCAGATAAATTGTTCTAAGCAAAGCAAAATTACTGATAAAAACTTTTACAGAACGTGTTTCATTGTCAATAATTTGTACGTAACTAGATAGATTTCCTTAACAAAACAGTATTACTTATAAATAATGGAAAGGGATGTGCTTACAAACCAAAACCTTTGCACAAGGTCAGTCCTTCGCTAGCCACACGTTTAAATATTCGTAATTTTCAACATAAAAATGGAAATTTGCTCTCCGATTTGTGCACATCTTCAGATAAATTGCTCTTAACAACATAAAACTACTGCTAAACTGAAACTGAACAAAAAAAAGTCAAATCCTTACCTGTGAAAGAAAACAACGTCGAAGCAAAATCCAATATGGCTGAACTAAACAGTCTGTAAGTACCAATTGCATTGTGGGAGCCTTACTCCCTTTGCACTCTGGGAAGTTTTCAATTTAGTAACAATCGCAAACGTTATTATAAAAGTAAAAAAGACACTTGCATCAGGCAATTAGAGGTAGTTTTTGCTGAGAATCTATATTGATTCAGACAAAAATTTTCAATTGAATCTCTTGCTAAGGGAATTTGATAAATAAAGTGGTAGAGATATAATTACTTGGTAGATGTCGAGTTTTGGAAAATAATATTTTGATGTCACAAATACAGTTTTCTTTGATTAACTTAAGTTGATGGATAAAGAAGTGATGAGTCTGGTCATTATTCAAAAGAATCTACATTGTAATGCTAATTATCGCTTAAATAGCCTTAATTAAAAATTACCATAGCAACGGTTACCATGGAGACCTGGTTAAGAAGTTTTACACATTAAAATAAAAGATATTCACACCAGTAATGCGTGAACTAATTTAGAACTGTCTAGGCTTAACTTGAGGGGAGTAATGTCGAGTTGAACTCGTATAAAATAGTGATACTAAAAATATGCCTAAATCACAGGGGCCTTACCAGCAGTCACAAATGAGCCCCAAGCACAATGACATCCCACCCGTACATCACTACATCATACCTAAAAATGTTCTATGAGTATTGCCCTATCATTTTGTGATGTCAGACCAAATATGTAGAGGGTGTGCTACGTTGTTCATTTTTTAGGCCTCTTCTGGAAATCTCCTCTTAGTCTACTTATCATCGTTGATCTTTAGCTTGTCCCGGTACATCCATTTACGTAAATCACTAATGCATGGCTCCATGGCTTCCAATGCCATCGATTGATCCGTAGGACTGTTAGGATCGAAAGACAAGTAAAGTTGCGAGTCGTCAGCGAAGCAAAGCACATTCGGCAGGTGGTCTTGTACTATCTCAAAGAGTTTGGAGGCGTAAACTGCAAACAGAAGCAGGCCGAGAAAGCTGCCTTGTGGGACACCAAAACGCAGATCATAGCTATCAGATGTAGTCCCCTCAAACAAAACACGCCGGCTGCGTTCAGGCAAATACGACGAGAACCACTCTAACGCCTTCCGGCCTATACCAAAATCAGTGGTCAAGCGTTTTAGCAAAATTGCGTGGTCCACGGTGTTAAAAGCAGCGCTTAAATCTAAGAGGACAAGTAGTGTAACACGCTGCGAGCTCATATTCAACAGAATATCATTAGCAAGTTTGACCAACGCTGTCTCCGTACTGTGATATCGGCGATATGCAGATTGTAATAGCGGATAGAGACCGGACCGAACAAGGTGGTCGTATATCTGATTAAATACTGAGCGCTCAGTGAGCTTGGAAATATAAACAAAGTTGCTTACAGGACGCAAGTTCTTGAAGAGAGATTCAAGTCCCGGTTTTTTTAACAGTGGTATGACCACGGCCTCTTTCCAGCTTTCAGGAAAACGAGTCGGAGACAAGCCTGTTCGAGGCACTTAGGCCTTTGTGACATTTATTGCTCAAGGAATTTATTGCTTGAATAGTTCATTGATGTTTAATGTAGTTAGTTCCTAGCTCATTTTTATAGGTTACATAGGATGTACGCGTCATGAATGCTACGCGTTTCTTCTATAGCTTTTGTGTGTTCGCCGCGATTTTAGTTTTTTTCATGTTCGCCCCTTTAGTGCTGTTTAGTTCATTAGTCGTTCATTCTTCGTGTATCTTTGTTCTTCGTGTTAGGTTTTTTCTTTGCATATAATAAATTGAGCTTCGCTTGTAATTTTTGCGTCAATTGTCCGTTGTGATTCTCAATCTTTTGGTCCATTTTAGAGTTTTATTCTTTTTGGTCTCTTTGCTCGTCCTACTTATTCATCTAATCTTGCAATTGTCTTGCAATTATTTTCCTTGTTTTATTTGCTTTTTCTTCAGTTTGCCGTATTGCTATCGCTCGGTTTCGTAGTTATTTTATCTTCACCTTGTAGTTTTTTAATTTTTGTTTTTCAGTACAGGGGCACCCAACGAATATTTTTCTGAAAATGAGCCGTTAACTACAGAAAACGAAAATTTAGACGCCTTTAAGGCATTTTCAAGCGCTTTTCTGTGTTGCTGGAAAGAATTTATCTGTTCCTCACTCCCAGCAGGTTAGATGGCTATTCTCCCAGCCAGCAGAGCGGCCTTTTCCATGTTTACCAGCCAGCAGAAAAAAAACATGTATTCAAATAAGCGCCGCAGGGTTGCTTGGAAATTGCGGCGCTGATTCGAGTATATACGGTAAAAATAAGTAACACACAGCCTTAACTCTCACTTTCCAACCAAGAATAACAACAACTACAATGGTAATGACAAAGGAACGTCACTAAGCCTTCCCTAGATGTACCTTTTGTGAATCCTATTCAAGGCTCGAAATAATTTCCGGAGAGCCTTCAGACACGATAACCGGCCAAATTCATTTTAACTCGGTCACTTATCGTTTCTGGCCGGTCAAATTTTTGAGATAAATAACTCTTAAAACAAGGGCCAAAAAACAGCTGTGGGTTCAGATATTTCGCGGGGTCGAGGGGCCGCGAAATTTGTTAGAAATCTTATCTAATACATGTCGATACAACATATTTGAAACTTATCTCGGCTATTGGGGCTGTTAATTGCCGCCAACTTCATCCCCACAACGAGCGAACAACATTCCAAAACTACCAGGCATAAGTTATGTTAGGGACAACTTGGCACCAGTCATGAAGTTTTAAAAAGCTTTGCCACTGGCTCATTTCTCGAGCGCTTTGTTGTTAAAATAGCAAGTGATTATCTCTGTTAAAAAACTTTAAACACGCTCGTCAAATCAGCACAAAATCAATCCATTTCTAGCGAAATTTGTCCAGAAAATTCCCACGAAATCGGCCGTTTTTATCTATTGTTTTTCGGCGAAGTTAGTCCCGAAAATTTCCGCGAAATTCCCGCGATATCAGCCGATTTTTCTGCGAATCTCTCTAAAAATCCCGCGAAACTTGACTTTTTTCTCCGCGACCGATCAGACGCCCTTAAGTTGTTGCTTAACTCATAAAAGTAAAAATATTTTAAATTTTGTGACCGAAAGCGCGTGAACCCCAATGTCTGTTTCAATGCGCGAATTGTAAACAACGGTTGTAGTTGTATTTCACCCAGGATTTCAGATCAACGTTTCGCAATGCACAGCGACTCGCTACATACTGATAACAATTGAAACAACTGGTTTCATTTTCAATACGATCGATTGTGACCGGTCAACTTGACCGGCAAGACGAAAAGTTGACTGGTCAACTCCCCAATCAGTCCGGACATTGTCCGTTGACCGGCCGTTATTTTGAGCCCTGCTATTCAGTCCAACTTGAATATAATACATCAGGCTATTTAAAAGGTTTTGACAACAGTGAACTCGCGCTCCGCCAAAACCCGAATGTTTTAATTAAGAATTTTTTAACAGTTGTGTAACACTATTATGTAAGATGTACGAAAAGAATGTAGTTACCAAGAACATGCAGATATAACACTTTGTTGTGACTATTGGCAACCTTAAGATACCTTTCCTTTACACCCCGATAAGTTTGTTCTGCAGTTGGTGCTTCCACAAAAAAACCTAAAACACTTAAATCTAAAAACAAGGAAAAAAAGAACCATTAGATGAATATTCAAGAAAACCTACTAAATCCAGCTGAAAGAGGTGTAAAATATAATTACAACAGACAAGTGTTTTTTTTGTTTAAAAATATTCTCTCCCTAAGAATGAATGGAATGTTGCTATCGACATCATCCATCACGGGCATGTAGAGAGGTTTAATTAAATCAACTTTTCCCAAATTTGGTTTTATTTTCTGAAAACATGGTTGAAATTGCTTTTCTCTTCTTGTCTGTATGTTAGAGCTTTTTCCTTAAAACAGAGCTCCTCATTAACTGCTCTTTATTTTTTTTAATTTCTAAAGATACACAGACTGAATAAGGGCTAGAACATTTTACTTCTTGGTTCTAAACGGTT